TATGCACAACAAGGCCCATCCCCTGGGAGGGGGGGGGGGGGGGGGTAAATGACATGAATAACAGATTTAGAAATCTTCGTCTAAACGCAATACTTGTTAATATATACGCATAGATAAGTAAATAGATTGCTGTTATTCATAAATACGAGCATCATTTACTGCTATATAAATGTTTGATGTAGGTGTAGACGGATGTGGATGTGGATGTCGGTTTCGGACAAGAAGAGACCCAAATCACATGCGCATCTACACTCGCCACCCACACTCAAATCAACAAACTACTCGCAAAAGATGGAAAAACAAGTTTTCATATCGCTGTCCCCAATGGCAACTGGAGTTGCCAAATTGTCGTGCACACAGGGAAGCGCACATGGTCGCTCTGCTTATATTGTTGACCTACTGGAGATGACAATACTCTGTTTCAATAGTTGTTTTATTAGTGACTCTTCTGGAACCGCTATGGCGGGCGGGGGGGGGGGGGAGGATAAAGGGTTAAAAGAGTAGATATCATCTCTCAGATTTACTTGTAGGAATTTTCAATGATAACGACTTCCTTTTATAATATATTAAACAAGTAAAACATAAAACAATTTCAATCTAAAGCAAATAGAAAAACGAAAATTTTATTGACCTCCTGAAATAACATTATAGGAATTTGAAAAAGAATTATCTAAGTTTAAAAAAAACTTTCTAATCCTCAAGAATCAAGTGGAAAAATTTGTTAATATAAACATTTTGTTTCTATAACGAGTATCCCAAAAATAATTTATCACAATAAAACGAATAGAATATCTTTACCGTATTTTGAGCGTATGAGTTAATTTTTTTTGTCCTACTGATAGAGGAGAGTTTGCAGCTATGTGAAACACAATCTAAAAGAAGTGTTGAAGTATATAGGATAGGAATATGAACTCTAATTCCTAGACTGTGACAGATGTAGATATACGATGATAGACCGTATATTAATAACTTCACGTCCAAAAATATGAACTATTTCCTTATTACACTTCTGGAGAACTAAGTAAAAGTATTGTGAAAAGATGATTTGCACATTAGATAGACTAAATCAATCTCCTGCGATTAGCAACAGCATCTACATCATGTTACACATTTTCGTGTCAGATAGATTGCGCTAACAGGTTTTGATTCATGAGCAAAAAGTTACATAATCATCGTTGAACACTATTATTATCTAGTTAAAAGAGAAGAATTTTCATTATGTGATAAAGATAGACTGACTATAGACTTTAGGTTTCTGTATTATTGTTTAAATTTTCATATTCTAATCAATAAATTGATGATTTAGAAACAAAAACTTGCAATTTTTCTGTATTACCAAAAAACATCATCTGATTGCATCAAAATACAGTGAAGTTATTCCAATATTACTTTTGTTAGGTTATTTCTGGTATACCTGGTATATAAGAAGACTTGCGTTCCATCTATTTTTGACTGAGATTCAATTCAATTCTTTATTATTTTGAAAAGAATATTAATGTTACATGAGCTGGTCCATTATTCTTACTATTGCAATAATGACCTACAATAAAATCATTTGACTAATTTTTTATTGCGGAAGATATTATTAACTAACATGTTTAGTAAATTTAAATCTTTTTAAAAAACAACATTCAACTCATGATTTAGTGTACATG